AATCCCAGCTACTCAGGAGGCTGAGGCAGGAGAATTGCCTGAACCCAGGAGGCGGAGGTTGCGGTGAGCCGAGATCGCGCCATTGCACTCCAGGCCTGGGGAACATGAGTGAAACTCCGTCTAAAAAAAAAAAAAAAAAAAACTCTCCTGTGGTTGGGATTAAAAACGACAGCATCAGCACGTGAAGTGGTTACAGGGAAGGACTGGAGCAAGGGAAAACAGTTAAAAAGCCATTGCTGTCTCAAATTGAGGACTAATGCAGGTCTTAGAGAGTGGCAGTTAAGAGTAGAAAGGAAAGAGAAGGATGCAAAAACAGATACGGACATAAAATCCAAAGAATTTGAAGTCTTAGGTAAAGTGAAAATTTAGGTTTATTTCCTAGATTGTGAGTTATACTTAAGTGACATGATTGCAATCTGAGAATCATGACAATGTCAGTAATCCATTTCTCTACTTTTTTAGTCTTTTGTTGCTGAGGCTATGTTGCTCATGGCTACTATCCTGCATTTGGGAAAATCTTCTCTTCCTAAGAAGCCAATTACTGATGATGATGTGGATCGAATTTCCCTGTGTCTCAAGGTCTTGTCTGAATGTTCACCTTTAATGAATGACATTTTCAATAAGGAATGCAGACAGTCTCTTTCTCACATGTTATCTGCTAAACTAGAAGAAGAGAAATTATCCCAAAAGGTAAGGTATCTGTGATGAGGCAACAAAAGTGCTTTGTGCGTCTGGGTACAGTGACTCACACCTGTAATCACAGCACTTTGGGAGGGTGAGGCAGGAGGACTGCTTGGGGCCAGGTGTTTGAGAACAACCTGGGCAACATAGCAAGCCCCTGTCTCAACAAAAAATGAGAAAATTAGCCAGGCATGGTGGTGTGTGTCTGTCATCCCAGCTACTTGGGAGGCTAAGGAAGAAGTATCGCTTGAACCTAGGAGTTCAAGGCTGCAATGAGCTGTGATCACACCACTGCACTACAGCCTGGGCAACAGAGTTAAGACTGTCTCAGAAAAAAAAAAAAAGAAAGAAAGAAAAGAAAAAAAGTGCTTTGTGGGTTTTCTTGTTGTTTTGTTGATTTTTCAGTCTTTTTATGTGAGGGCTGTCCTTATTAAAGGCCTCTAAAAACTGTCTTTTCTTATTGAAGAGAGACTTTGTTCTGTTCTCAACACAGAAAGAATCTGAAAAGAGGAACGTGACAGTACAGCCTGATGACCCCATTTCCTTCATGCAACTAACTGCTAAGAATGAAATGAACTGCAAGGAAGATCAGTTTCAGTTGAGTTTGCTGGCAGCAATGGGTAACACACAGAGGAAAGAGGCAGCAGATCCCCTAGCGTCTAAACTTAACAAGGTAACAGAATGTCTGATAGACCCTAAATTATTTGAATTGGCTCCTTAAGGAAGTTGTTAGTCCTGCTATTTTTAAAAGAAAAGTAAATAGTTATACAGCATTAGTTTTTATCAAGTCACTGTGACAGGTCCATTAAACCTCATTTGAAACTCAGAAGCTAATGAAGTACTTTACTACTATGTATGATAGTAATGTAAGTCCATCAGATGGTTTTATAACTTGATCCAGTTGTGTGTGAAATCATGGACGAATAAATAGAAGTTGAAGGGAGGGGATCCTTAAAGGTTAACTGAACTTTTTAAAGGGAAGCTGAACAGGCAGAGCCCTGGCCTCTTCCCACACCTTGACCTCAACTTCTCTTGTTCCCCGCTACTTGAAATAGAGCAAATTTACTTTTATATCCTTAATATATTGAGTTCCATATGGAATTTTATTAGGAAAATGATTCTATTTTCTTAAATATGTAAATTTAAGAATCAGTGATCTAGTTTAATCCCACATCTATTAGATTGAGTGAACTATCTTACATTGATTTTGTTTAAGATAAGGTTAGTAGCAGAATTGGAACTACTATAACAATTTCTCTCCCTTAAAATTGGGAATTGATATTAATAATATTACATTTATAAAATTAAAAATTTTTTTGAATTATAAAAATTACAAAAGATTTTCCATGTTAACCTATTTGTAAGTGTGGAGTTCTTTGGTATTAATTAAATTCATATTGTTATGCTTTCACATTGTTATGCACCCATCTCCAGGACTGTTTTCATCTTGCAAAGCTGAAATTATACCCATTAAACAATAACTCCTCATTCCTACTTCCACTCAACCCCTGCTTCCCCCCAGCCACCAGTCCACTGTGATTTTCACCAGTCTCTGTGATTTTGACTATTTTAAGTACCTCATAGAAGTGGAACAATACAGTATTTTTCCTTTTGTGACTGGCTTATTTTACTCAGTATAATGTCTTCAAGATTCATTCATGTTATACCATATATCAGAATTTCCTTCCTTATTAAGATTGAATAATATTTCATTGTAAGTATATGCCATATTTTGTTTATCCATATAGCCATCCCTGGGTACGTGGATTGCTATGAAGAATGCTGCTTTTAACACAGATGTACAAATATCTGTTCAAGTTTCTGCTTTTACTTCTTTTGGGTATATGTCTAGAAGCAGAATTGCTGGATCATATGGTAATTGTACTTTTAATTTTGTTGAGGAACCTCCATGATGTTTTGCATAGTAGCTACACTATTTTACATTCTTAAAAGGGTTCCAGCCCTTTTCACAAGATGGCGCCGAAAGTGAAGAAGGAAGCTCCTGCCCCTCCTAAAGGCGAAGCCAAAGTGAAGGCGTTAAAGGCCAAGAAGGCAGTGTTGAAAGGTGTCCACAGCCACAAAAAAAAGAAGGTCCACACGTCACCCACCTTCTGGCGGCCCAAGACACTGCGACTCCAGAGGCAGCCCAAATATCCTTGGAAGAGCGCCCCCAGGAGAAACAACTGGACCACTATGCTATCATCAAGTTCCACTGACCACTGAGTCTGCCATGAAGAAGAT